CGGCATCTTGGGAGTGGACCACTGCAGAACCGCCACCAAAGGAACCTCGAAACCCTGAAAACACAGAAGAACCCGGGACTGAACGTCTTATCTTGATGATGGAGGCCAGAATCTGTCGCCATGGAGACGGGCCTCCGCATCAGCAGCTGAGTTTGTTCTGGTGCGACTCTTCGTCAGGATGAGAGGAAACATCTCAACGTTTCTCAAACGTTGATCATCAGTAACTTTGGGCTGATTAACCGACCTCGTTAGAGTCGTCCTGCGGGACGTCGTTCAGGTGCAACTGGAACAGGAAGTCGTGCTCCTCCAGGGCGCCAAGCATGCTGGGAAGGCGGCAGGCCCTGCTGTCCACGCGGCAGAAAGACGCCATGCCGACCTCACCGGACTGATGGCTGCAGGAGAGGACAGGAATCAGTGCTGCTGCTGACCCTGGACTCTGATGCTGACCCTTGACCCTGCAGCTGACCCTCGGCCCCGTTACATACCAGACGTTGTCCACCAGCAGCACGGAGCCATCTGGCATCATGGGAAGGTACGAGGCGTTCAGGTTGGGCAGAATCCGGACGTCCCGGATGCTCAGCTCCTCCTGGGAAGATTCGTTCAGGACTGAGAGGAAACCAGTTAGAAACAAGTCAGGACGGATGGAGAACAGATTTTGAGATACATTCAGGTCTGGACTTTGACTAGGCCAATTCAGTTTGGAGTGTCACAATGAAGCACATCGATGTCTGGCTTGGAGCCTTACAGAACAGGGTGTGAACACTTTGGATTCAGCCAAACCTTTCAGGATGGCGACATGTTTCCCAGAAACGGTCATCTGCTTGCAGCGGACGGTGGGAGGCGGCAGGACGGTCAGCGTGGTGCTCACTGCGGACAGAACCGAACAGAACCATCATTATTCTGTTGGTTCTTTCGCCTCATCTGGGTTAGAAACACTGCCACCTGTGACTGAAGCTGGTACTACACCAGGAAACATTATTGTATGCAAAAAGGGCAGTAGAAAATGTTTACGTATAGCACGACAGGAAATACCTTATGAACTAACTGTTGAGCATCAAGCCCGACATCCTGCAGCTTTAGCATTAGCTTCCGCTAAAGACCATGTTGGTGTAGCGCTTTAACGTTAGCTTCTACTAAATCCTGTGTTGGCGCAGCCTATATTGTTACCACAACTAATGTTTATGATTAGTTCTTTAGGGTTAGCTCAGCCAGCTTCTTAGCTAGTGGTGCACAGCACTGACCCCTCTTCCTGTCTCTAAATGGCTGCAAGTGGTTCTGGGTCATCAGAAGAGTTCTGTTGAAACTATAAAGTGAAGCAGGAACCTTCAGACCGTTTGGACCAATTAGAGAGTCGGAACCACAGCAGGAGAAGTGATCTTCTCGGCTCTGGTTCTCGCTGGTTAACATGAAACCTTCAAACTGCTGGCACTTTCATCAGAACCGAAACTGGGGTGGATCCAGACTTTATCCCAGAACTCCTCACCAGGCAGGACAGACGGGTTTTTATCACAGTGGGTGGGGGTGGAGGGGGTTTACAAGTCCAGACAGGTGCAGCAAAACACAGGTGTGTGTCGTACCCTGAGCCTTGAAGGTGTTCAGGTCGTGTCTGAAGGTGTGTGTGGGTTCTCGCTGCTGCAGCACACTCAGGTATCCCAGCTCCTGCACCTCCACCTTCTCTGCTTCCTTCTTCCACACCGTCACCATGACCTGCAGCAGAACGTCTGCATCAGTCCAACACACATCACACAAAGCTGCTTCTCACCAAACACAGAACAAACCAGACAAAGGCCGGAACAGGAAGCTCCACCTGCAGACGGAGCTGCTCACCTTGACCTTCAGTGTGTTGACTGGAAGTTTGTCCAGAGAGACGGTGAGAGGGAAGATCACTTCGTCCGTCAGAACAACCGGTTCATCCAGAGGGGACTGAGGAGGACAAGTTCAGAACCGATGAAGACGGTGCATTAAAACCTGAACCAACCAAACACTTTGAGCAACCTGTTGCCCTCCCCGCCTGTGGGGGCGCTGCACCAAAAAACACTGAAAAAAACTACACTGAGCGCAACTTCCTTCTTCACAAAATGGAGGTGTCACATTTTAGCGGTTGGAGGATTTCCCTTTAGTCTTTGGCTAAAAACCACAAGCCATTTCTCCTGCCTGCGCTAGGCTAAAGTATTAGCTTTGGTTTAATTTACCCAGAATGCTCTGCACTGGCTTTCTCTGTGTAAAAGGAAACTATAGATAAGTGGATGGTGGATCAGGACTTTTCCACATGTGTTGTAAACATTCCTGCACCTGAAGCGGAGCCCTGCGGAACTCCCTGGAGGCCGTCCCGGAGGAGTTGTGGATGAGCAGCGGCTTGCAGTCCCTGAAGCTCCGACAACGGGAGTCCACCCTGCTGCCCAGCGCTGCGATGGCCGCCTCCGCCGCTGCCATGTAGTCGTCCTCGCCGTCCTCGTTGGCCTCATCGCCGCTGCTCTGGTAGTCCTGGTGGTGGTTGCCACGGTGACGGCTGTTCTCACCCGGACTCACGCTGGCCACGGCGCACAGAGAGCCGGCCAGCTCCCGCCACGCTCGGCTGCTGGGCGATTCTGTGCCGAAACCGGCCACTGTGACGTCAGCGCCCCCTGCAGGGAGAGGAAAGTCATGAGCTTCATCACATCGTCCAGAGGAGTGTTTCAATTGGCTGAGAAAGTTTAAGGTAGAGCCAGGACTTTAACTCGTTACATTAATTAATTACATCAATTTTAAATGTTATTAGAGATTAAACTATTGATCTTTGAGAGGCTGAACTAAGCCTAAGCCTGATTTATAGACCAGTAATACATTTTATTGGTCTATAAATGTCCCAGAAGTTACTGCGATATAATATTGTTGTTTTGAGACCATTTTCAAGTAATGGCCATTCTCAAATATCAATAGTTTCATTTCTAATGAACATTTAACAGTGGCACTGGATGACATTTTAAATATTCCAAATAAATAAAAACACAAGAAGCAACAAAATATTAATAATGAAGAATCTGTAAGCAAAATTATCCTTCAAAAGAAGGATGTAGTTGAGACCAAAGCAGCAGACTGAAGAGTTTAGTTTTTGGTAGGAAGAGGAAAACAAGATCATACAAATAGAAATGACTGAATTTGTTTTAATTTATCAATTAATTTATTGGTTACTGCGACAGGCCTAGCCATTGCCGTTCAGACTGCAGTCACTTTGAAAACTATCGGATTCGATTTAGTTCCACAGATCGGATTTTACTGAGCCGTTCAGACCGCTGTGAGAAAGTGGGATATGGGCCCTATGTGGGATACGGGCCCTATGTGGGATACGGGCCCCATGTGGGATACGGGCCCTATGTGGGAGTGGGCCCCATGTGGGATACGGGCCCCATTTGGCTGGAAAACATGATCCTGCCCCTTTAAAATAATAATGAAAAAAGCAGCAGACAGGTGAGCTCTACAGATACTCTGAAGCCTCTCCATGCACCAAAAGAGAAGCAGATCCTGAAAGATCGTCACAATCAGCAGCTGGAGCATCCAGAACCTCCGGCTGAGAGCTGCAGCCAAGCAGGTCCAAAACGGCTCAGCAGCCGTGGTACCACCGCGGCAGAGCTTGGTCAGCAGGACAAACAGAGACGCCACGTCTGTCCAGGACAGAGACGTCCAGCATCGTCTCAGGAAGTCCAGAACCAGAACCCGGAGAGAAATGAGCTTTACTGAATCAAAAACTAATGTTTATGGCTCTGATGTCATATTTTCGTTTTCTGACACTGGATTCTGGGTCAGAATCACCAGAACTATCAGAACCAGGCAGATGAAATGAATTAGTTTCACTTCCTGATTCAGAGTTTCTGAAATTAATTAGTAATGTTTAGTGAGACTGTAGTTTCTGGAGACTCTGCTGCAGGCTCCGTTCAGCTCAGACCCAGTTCGGGCTCTGGTTCCGGTTCTGATGAATGACAGAGCTTTGATGACGGCGGTGTGTTAGTGTTTCAATGACCAGACGAACACGGAAATGATGCTTCCTCCATGTTGTTCTGCCTGGTCCTGCAGCAACAGCCCCAGGGAGGTTCGGTCCGGGGACAGAACCGGTCCAGCGCTGAATATTAACCCCAAAACCAGGAAGACCGAGGCGTCCGAACGAGGCAGAGGCCCGGTGAGACCCAGGATAACCGGGTCAGATCCGGACCGGGTCCTCCGGCTCCCCGCCACCCTGCCACCCGGCATCCCTCCCTGCCGCCCGCCTTACCGGGGGCCTCGCTCGGTGTCGCCGCGGCGTCCCGGCAGCGTAGCACCAGCAGGAAGCGGACCGTCTCGCCCAGGTAGAGGTGGCTCCGGCGGGGCAGACTGCGGTACCGGGCCGGGTCCGACAGGTCTGTGATGGGTACCGCCGGGAAATACATGAAGTACTCGCACTGCGACTCCATCATCTGCACCATGGCGACGACCGGAGGAGGCTGAGCGGACCAGGACCAGGAGTCAACGGACCCCTACCAGAACAATCAAACACGACGACTTCCTGGTTCTTTCAAAACAAGAGCTCAGTCAGCGGATGGAAAACTCAACTGCGCCCCACAGTGGCGATTTCAACAAATTACAACTGCCTGCCTGTTTTTACTGCTAAAAGTAATCCACTATATTAGAGGAGAAAAAGTTTTTACTCCCTTATAGATTTTTACATTTTCTGATTTCTAGTTCTGGATATAATAAACATAACAAAATGTAAAATATAATATAACAAAAATTGTTTTTGTGCGAATTGGATTTTCACTACAGAATGAAGCTGAGATACCAGAAATACTTTTTTAGATATATTTTTCTTATTATTAGGTTGGAATCTATGTTGTTTTTTTAATATTATTTTCCACAAATCTCAACATTTCATAGAAGAAAATTTATCAATCTGCTGTTTTTGTCATTTTAAATTCAAAATAGTACAAGTGAAATAAAATTGTGGTTTGTTTGAAAAAATAGTAACACATTTCCTACAGTTATTTAAAAAATAATAATTTGTCTTTTTTTATACAGATTATCTAAATTTCAACTTTAAATAAGTTTTTTGTTGCTGGACTCAGCTACAACTTCCATGAAGACAGAAACCGGTACAACAAAAGGTTAACTAAAAAGGGCTGTTGTCACTAAATGTTATTTCTCTTTTGAATGTAAATGTTTTAATTGAGGAGTGTTTTACTATTTTCTTTATGATGGTCCAGAACTTTTTTTGTTTGTTTTTGTTGTGGATGTTTTGTTCTGTGCTTCTGTGAGTCTTGAATTCTCTTCTAAATGAAATTATTTATGTCAATGGGATTTTCCTGGTGAAACAAATGTTAGCTGTCAGACTCCTTTTATTTGATCATACTAGTAAAAATGTGACAATGTTGTAGGGATACACATTTGTGATCTTCAGTATTTGAGTTGTTCAGCTTCATATTTTTTTTAATATAAAACATTTTAGCTTATGAAGACCGAAACCAACAGACAAACTTAAGAGCTCATGGTGTTTTAATTAACAAGAACTGTCTTGTATTTATTTCTTATAAAGGAGTATTCAAATTACATTTTACTGTGCAATAATGAAGCCACAGAATGTAAATTGTCATCAAATCAAATCCATTATGTATAGAGTCAGATTACACCAATGTGGAAAGATGTTCAGTTGTATTTAATTTTAGAAGTACCCCGTTAATGCAGAGAAAGTTATAGTTTATCAGTGTATTAACTATATTCTGCCACAACCTGACCTTTAAGACCTTCCTCATCTTGATGTGGTCCAAAATGAAAATTAGTTTGGCTCCTCTGATTTAGATGATCAGCCAAAACATGGAGTCCAATTACATAATAATTGGACTCCATGTCCAATTATTACCAGCACGTAATCAGCAACATATCCCTTAATCTGATCACCGGATTAAAAAAAAAACAAAAAAGCTTTTTAGTCTTTCAGCTGTCAGTCATTATGTTCAGTACAAAGTAAGGCACAAACACATCACAGGTGAAAAAAAAAATTATGTCTCACATTTACAAAATTTGTTTTACCCAAGTTAAATGAATTTCAGAATAAAACCAGAAATAACAGCCATCAAGTGACATGCACTCTTTGTTTTTTCTTATTCGTAATTACAGGGAATGAAACTGAGCCTCTCCACTGACAGCTGAGATTGAGTATGAGGATCGGCCTGATTGTTTTGTCTCTCAGACCGTAAATGAGGCAGTTTAGACATTTAGGAAGAATACTTACAGAAACATAAAGAAAAATCTGGAGACGCACAGCAAGAACTCTGTCTAGACTTTTGGAGACGGCTGTAATCAATGAATTGTGTATTGTTGACGACACTGTGAGGCCCATTTGCAGCAGATGCAGCAGCAGAGTCCTTTTGGCTTTGCTGGCTGATTCTTTGTCTGTGGCAGCAGAACGAGCTGCTACAATGATGCCAGTGTAGCAGAAAATGACCGTTACACCCCCGAGCACAAACAGGAAGTAGGTCGAGACTTTGTCGTAAAGGTCAGATGCTGGATCAGTAAACATACTCTCTTTGCCACAAAAGTCTGTCATCTGCATGTGCTGCTGTTCTTCTGATAAAAACTTGAACATTATAATTGTTTGAATCATTACATTTAGTGAAGTGATAGTCCAAACGACCCAAATAACCAACGTGGTGTTTCTGGTGGTGACGATGACATTGTGTCTGAGAGGATAGCACACAGCTATGTATCTCTCTACACACATAATCACCAGAGTTAATGAAGAGATTCTATGAGAAAGAGAATACAAAGCTCCCACAGTGGCACAGACTGGATACAACAGTGATACTCTACAGATAGACAGAAGAAACAGCGACTGACTCTTTGCCATCTGCAGTGTGTCTGCAAGCAGAAGGTTGAACAGAAGAATGTAGCGAGCCGTCTCTCGAAACACGTCTTTACTTCTCAGGGTGTATAAAGTAGTTAGATTAATGAAGAGAAACACAGAGCAGGGCAGTGTTGTCACAACAGAAAACAATACTATCCCCAGGAGCCCCTCACGCTGCAGCTCAACAGTGTTGTTCCTTTGAGTTTGATTAGTGAGCATTTTCACCAATATTTAAAAACATATGAAGTCAAATTCCCCCCAAAATACAAAAATAAAACTAAAATCCAAAGATAAAACTATTGCTTTAACAACAACATCAACTCATCGGTTTTGGATTGTGATTCAAACTCCACCATCATACCTTCTGTCCAACAAGTCAACTTCAGAGCTGCACTATTTATGTCATCGTCAGAGACCTGCCTTTCAGAGATTTGTTGGGAAATGGTTATGATGAAAACGTGGACGTGAAAGGCAGAACCTTTGAACCGACGGGCCGTTTTGGATGTGACAAAACATTTTCAGAAACCAAGCCGAAGGAAGGAGTAAAGTTTGCCTTCTTTTTGTAGCTTTTAGGAATTCAGTACCATTTTTAAAATGAGAGTATATAGAGACAAAGAACTAATCTACGTCGTATTCGCAAAGGAAAAACAGAATTTATTTAACGAACTAATACAAATTAATTATACAGAAATGAAAGGAAAACTTATTGAACTGAGGTCCATCCAGGAAAAGAATAAAAAAATATCATCCAAGTTAATCTCAAATAACTCCACCAACAAGGTTATACTGATATTAAACCACAGGTTTATTAAAGCTGCTCTACTCTTTGATTGACATTATTGCAGACTAGAAATTTTATGTAGTCGGTTGTTTGTAGGTGTAAAATATACACAGTCTACTCAGCTTTATTTTGTACAACTTGTACAGACAACATTAGAGAACTGTTTCATTCAAATCTAAATAAATACTGTGATTACAAACAACTCCTCATGATATATAAGCAAAGTAAATATTAAGTAAATGTATACTTAATATAAAAAAGCGTGTTTTCCTAGTCATTATTTTTTAATGAATTAATTAAATTTTTATACTTTTTGATATTTTGTAAACATATTATATATAACATATAACATGTTACATATTTTAGTCTTATATTTTAACTCTGTTCTTCACTACGTTTTTATTTCAGGCTCTTTTGTGTTTTATGTTTTTGTATTCAAATGGGGTGCAGAGTTTTCTTTGAAGCGGGTCTGGTGGTGCAAAGTTCACGTCTGTTTTGGTCAAATTAGTCCTCCAACCATAATAGCTGGTCATCCCAGATTGGTCCCATATCATTAACCAACTACTGTGTTGATTTGAATGGGTAGCGTTTGATAAAATAGAGATGACATACCGTAAAAAGATATTTCGCATCGTTTTTGTTTGTCAGTTAAGTTGCTAAGCTACAATCGTAAGATGCACTGAAGTTCACAGTCTCTCAGCTTGCTGCACATTGACCAGACCCTGACCACAGAGAAGAGCCACCCACTCATTTGAATATAGGAATAGAAAATAGAGCTTGAAATAAAAAGGTTATAAAATGAAACACAAGTATTAAATGAACAATAAAAAATACCTAAATAAATCCCAAGATAAATTTTATAATAAATAAAACTGATCAATGAAATAAGCTCCCCTTTAAATCTCCTGTGGTCTTAGTGCGATGCTCAAGAGCAGCGCGGCAGATGTCACAGTTGGCCAGAGGGGAAGTGAAGAGGTTTCCCATCAGACCGTCAGTTCCCAAAACCACACAAAAACAAAAAAAAATTCTCAAATCTAATATGCCACAATAACTTTACATTGACTTGTATTGCGAAACATTATGGAGAAACCAACAGCAACACTGTGCGCAACAAATTTATTTTACCTTCTTAATTATCTCAGTCAAAATCAACTGAGATTTTCACTCATTCATCTGTGAAAGTTAAATACACATCTATTCTGATTTTTTTTTTGTAGTTCAAATAAGATTAAATCTGTTGCTTTACATGAACTTTGAAATTAAAGCAGAGCTCATCCACTGACAGGTGAGATTCAACATAAGAACAGGTCTGATTGTCTGGTCTCTGAGGCCGTATATGAGGGAGCTCAGGCATTTAGGAAGGACAATATCACAAACATAAAGGATAATCTGCATGTTCACAGATTGCACCCTGTCTAGATTATTTGAGATAACTATGAGCAGTGAATTGTGTATCGTTGAGGACAGTGTGAGGCCCAGCTGCAGCAGATGCAGCAGCAGAGTCCTTCGCGCCTTGTTGGCTGAAGCTTTGTCTGTGGAGGCAGAACGAGCTGCTACAACGATACCAGCATAGGAGAAAACAACGGTTATACCACCTAGCACAAACAGAAAATAAGTGAAAGTTTTGTTAAAAATAACAGAAGCTGGATCAACAAACACATTCTCTAGTCCACAGAAATCTTGCATCTGGACGGTGCTTACATTGTGTAAAAACAGTTTTAAAGCTAGAGTCAATTGCATCATGTCTTTGAGTGAACTGAAACACCAGATGATACAAATAACCACTCCTGTGTTTTTTGTGGTGATTAACACACTGTGCTTGAATGGAAAGCACACAGCTATGTATCTCTCCAGACACATAACCACCAGTGTGATAACAGAAACGCTATGTGTCAGATTGTTGAGAATAGTCAAGACCACACATACAGAATACAGCAGTGTTACTCTAGAGGAAGACAGTAAAAACATTGATTGACTGTGTGCCAGCTGGATGGTGTCTGAAAACAGAAGGTTAAACAGCAGAATATAACGAGAAGTCTCTCGAAACACCTCTTTACTCCTCAAGGTGTACAACATTGTCACATTGATGAAAAGAAACACACAGCATGGCAAAGTCGTCACAGTGGAAGAAAATGCCACCCCTAGGATTCCCTGACGCTGTACATCTAACGTGGTATTTAGCTGAGTGTGATTAGTGGAGGACATGTTTACCAAATTAAACATTAATTTCAATTAGAACAAAAATGTAAATGAAAACATTTGTTGTACACAAAAAAGTATTTTATAGTTACAGTCTAGATTGTAGTGAAGTCCATATCTTTAAAACAAACAGTAGACCTCCTTTGCAAACTCTTACCCGGGGTGAGTCTGCATAATTTGCCTTTCTTCAACTTATATTTATCTGATCAGAGACAAATTATCTTAGAGTCGTGTGTGATATGTAATTGGCTGATGGTGTTGGAACACCTGCCCCTTTTGTCTTTATGTCCTGCATACCGATTTGTAAACTATAGTGTCTTGTAAAGGTCTGGCCTGTTAGATTAAATCATTTCGAAATTGATCAAAATGATATAAATATGGTAAAACGTTCTGCTGTTAGATAATCATGCTTTGTCCTGTGTGTTTTTAGCGGGACACATATTTAAGGTCTAACCTTCAATATCTGCCATGTTTAATTTGGTGCAGATCAGTTGATTTATATGGAAATTAGGGCCACACCTGTTGCTATGAGGTGATGTCTGAATTTCCCACACTACGACAGTGATGGATCCTCTTGGAGGGAGCTACAACTGTGTACCAACTTTCAAAAGTCTCTGTTAAATGGGTTGGCCTGAGTGAGTTTTAGTGTTTAGCCATTTGGCCATAGACATTTTTTATTCCATTGGAGTCCAAATGTGTCACTTGGGGCTGAATTTTGTTTTATGTTTGGTGAGTGTGAGTATGTTTATACCCCTAAATGTTCAGTGCATTTAACAGAAGAGTAAGGTCTTCCATTATAATAGGGGTAATTGGCTGGTTTTACGTAATTAAGGCAATTTTACACTAGACTGCCTTTAACTGGTTCAGTCCCGGTCCGCCCCAGCCAGATTCATTTTCCATTAGCAGATCTGGTGTTGCTCTGTCTGGCTAATCTCACATTTTTGTACTTCTGGGGTAGCACTAGCCGCACCGAGCCAGTTACGACACCGAAGAGATTTGATCGACAGCTGACCACACTTGTTGACTGGATTGTGATTTACGTCACTTAAGGGCCTTTAGTGCATTTCAGGTACAAATTGTGCGGTGATACAGGAGAACTAATGCTGTAATAACTTACAAAATAAAAAAAATTTTTTTTTCTCTACTTAGAAATTCCATCGAAAGAATTTAGTCAAGCTCTGACATCCACTAGAATCCTGGTAAATATTAAAATATCTAACAGAGATATAAGGAGGATTTTTGATATTTAAAGAGTTAAAGTGTGGTACAATGAATATGTTATTTATGAAAGTTAAACCAAATAAATAGACTTCTACAATTTTTTGCACTGCTTTTCTTTATCTCATTGCTTTCTGCTCAAACAGGCTTACATTTTCACCTCATATTAATGTTTTTAATACATTGCAGTTTTCCCTCACAATTTTTTGTAGCATTTTTACTTGGTTATTGTATGAATTTATTCTACTCTCAGATTGAGATTAATCAATCTAATTAGTAGAATGACAACCTGACAGAAAATTATCCTTATGTCAGTTTTAGCTCTATACAAAACACCATCATTCAAATTCCTGCCTTGACATAACAAATTGTATTTATTTTGTAGCTATTAGATTGCAGTAGGAGTCATAAAATCAATCCTTTAGCCAAGGGTTTCTCTTTAAAATTGTGATGATTAAAATGTGGAAGTAAAAAAATAAACTTTTAGAAGGAAATTGCATCCGTCAGGTTACATGTGTTCTGATTTTATTTCTAGCTTGGACGTTGGAAATGAAAGCTGAGCTTCTCCACTGACAGGTGAGATTCAACATAAGAACAGGTCTGATTGTCTGGTCTCTGAGGCCGTATATGAGGGAGCTCAGGCATTTAGGAAGGACAATAACACAAACATAAAGAGCAATCTGCATGTTCACAGATTGCACCCTGTCTAGATTATTTGAGATAACTATGAGCAGTGAATTGTGTATCGTTGAGGACAGTGTGAGGCCCAGCTGCAGCAGATGCAGCAGCAGAGTCCTTCGCACCTTGTTGGCTGAAGCTTTGTCTGTGGAGGCAGAACGAGCTGCTACAACGATACCAGTATAGGAGAAAACAACAGCTACACCCCCTAATACACACAGAAAATAGGTGAACGCTTTGTTAAAAATGTCGGAGGCTGGATCAGAAAACACACTGTCTTTACCACAGAAGTCTACCATTTGCATTTCCTTTACATTGTCAAAAGAAACTTTGAAAATTAGACTTAGTGCGACAATGACCCTAAGAGAACTGAAACACCAAATGACCAAAATAACCACTCCTGTGTTTTTTGTGGTGATCAACACACTGTGCTT